TGGAGGGCCTGGGGGGCGATCTGGGCAGTGGGGGATACGGAGATGCAGGTGGGAAGGCCACAATGTGGACACAGGTGGGCTGGAGGGGCCAGGGCAGGTTAATTAGCAGTTCCCCGTCTGCCCAGGAGATGTTTCGTTAAAGATTCTTTAGGAAGGGCAGTAAGGCCTGGCTCGGGGGACAGTGACTTTTCCATCTCCCACAGCTCCATCGACCCAACTGATTTGGCCTGTTTTCTTCAATGTGGCCGCATTCATCTATGCTGACTGCCTACTTTAAATTCTGGCTTCAGTGTCATGAGCCCTGAGGGTGGCCAGAGATCTCAGGTGCTGAGGTAACCAAGAGAGCGTCAGTACCACAGAGTACCTCAGCGCTCTCTCTCAGTGAAGCAAACCCTCTTAGGGTCCACTCTGTGGCCCTGCAGAGAGAGGAATGAGGTGGCCCTGTCGCTGGCTGGCTCTCCCCTTCTCTGCCCGCTTCTCGGGACTCTGCACCACACACGTCACTCTGTGTTCGCTGGATGGTATGCAGCACAGTGGAAGAACCTAAGTGTAACTGCACAGTATTAGGCTAACAGCACCCTGAGAGGAGATGGCTTTTAGAGCTAGATTGGTGATAACACATGACACAAAAATGGTCATTACCTTTTTTTGGTTAGATAGATGCTACATTTTCCATTACCAGAGCAAAACACCTGAAGCTAGTTAACAGTTTTTAAAAAGAAGCTTATTTAGCTCACAGGGTCGGGGGCTGAGTGTCCCCTGGTGGACAGCCACTGTCCCTCGGGCAGCCACTGGTGCAGGCTCATAGTGCCATCAGGGTGGGAATGCAGGGAGCAAGAGGAGATTGGCAGGGGCGGTCGGGGGCTAGAGGAGAGGGATTCAGAGTCAGGATCCCTTTTTTTTTGGTACCAGGGATTGAACCCAGGATTGCCTAACCACTAAGTCACATCCCCAGTTCTTTTTAAATATTCTGTTTAGAGACAGAGTCTTGCTAACTTGCTTAGGTCTCACTAAATTACTGAGGCTGGCTTTGAAATCTCCATCCTCCTGCCTCAGCCTCCTGAGTGACTGGGTGTGCACCACCGGGCCCAGCTGGGAGTCGGACTCACTCTTAAGCCAGCTCAGCTGACTCAGTCTCTCAGAGCTGCCCTTGTTTCTTCCAAGAGCCCTGAGGCTTGACCTCCATTGCCCACCTCCTAAAACCTCAAGCTTCCAACCCAGGAACCCTTGGAGGACGAGCCACACCCAAACCACAGCATGTGTGTGTAAATGTGCCATAAATGTGTGTGAGATGGTCTGAGATTAACAAGATTACAGTATTCTTCTCTGAAAGTGGGCTGCCCAGAGGATGCATTGGAGGTTTGCAGCCTTTGTGGCAAGAGAACTTTCATGACATTAAAAAGCCATGAAATATGGGGTGGGAGGAGAATGAGATGCACAAATGGGTAAAAATAAGTTAAATTGTATATACTCATTTTTTAAAAACAAACTTGTATTTCAAGAGAGTCTTACATCTTAAGTAGTATGTTATTGTCTTCATTAAAGTTGAAGAAAAAATGAGAAAATTTATGTAAAAGTCAATTTATTAGCTTAAGTCATAGAGAAGTATAATTTGTAAAATTTATATATGACAGCAGAATTCATTTCAATTCTTATTATGCATATCGATCACGATTTTTCATACCTCTGGTTGTCTGCATAGTTCATTGACACCGATTCGTGTCTTCACACCTGTACTTTGGATAATAATGATTGAAAGGCAGTAACTCACCTGAGATGGAGATTCAACCAAGAGATTTTATTGGGGGGCTGCCCAAAGGGGAAGAAAAGGAGAGGCAGAAAGCAGAGAGAGGAGAGGAGGAGGGCAGAGAGAAAGAGAGAGAGGAGAGAGAGGAGAGAAGGAAGAGGAAGAGGGCACGGAGAGTGAGCTTGCAGCTTTGGCTTAAGAAGGGATGCATGGGTGACTCAGGAACAGCGAGCGGACACTGTGTCCTGCAGGGATTGGTCAAGAAAACCTTTGAATTTGGTGCTGCTCGGCTTGGCGCCCATCAGAAAGGAGGGGGATTCCGTGATGTTCTCCCAAGAGGAAAATTTAACTTCAGTGGGGAGTCTCCCACACACCCAGCAATGATCATCACATTCCACCATCACTAATAACCCATGCCCCCTCCCTTCCCTCCAAACCCTCTGCCCTATCTAGAGTTCCTCCCATGCTCCTGATCCCACTACAAATCAGCCTCCTTGTATCAAAGAAGTATAATTTTATGAAACATGGAAGTTGGTGAACACTTGTAAAACATACCAAAGTTTTATGTGCTATGTCATCGACCAAGTTAACCACTAAGAAAAAAGTAATTTAGGGCAAGTTCTCCAGTGAACACATGCTTCTCAATGGAGCTGATGTCTGCCAAGTGCTCATGGGGGGCCAGGACCTTCACAGTGCCACGCAGCTTGCTCTCTCAGCCCTCTGAGAGGCCCACACTGTCATTGTCCCTGCTAGAAATGAAACAAGACACGGAACGCCAGCATCCTGCCAGAGCTCACACCAGCTGTGAGGAGCAGAGCTGGGCCCAGGCTTGGGTATCTTAGAGTCAGCTTTGCTCACTTGGTATGAGTTCTGCTCCTTTAAAAGAGATACGAGGGGCTGGGGATACAGCTCAGCTGACAGAGTGCTTGCCTTGCATGCACAGGCCATGGGTTCAATCCTCAGCACCATACACCCAAAAAAACTCACAAAGAAGCAAAAACTACGCCGAAGTGCATTGATTGAAAGAACAACACATCTCTATTCTGGCGTAGGATGGTGGAATTTAGCACATGGATACACGTATGAAGACACACAGTGTGAACACAGCTTCTGGACATTATTATACCATGTGTAGTGTTAATCTCCAAAATATGCTTCTCTTGTCTTTGAACACATCTTTCCCTGTACTAGTGTACATACACAATTACTAATCTTACACAGATGGCCCCAGCTTGAGGATGGTTTGACCCGTGATTTGGGGGCTCCATGGTGGTGGGAGAGTGGAACACTCTCAGTAGGACCCGTGCTTGGAGTTTTGAGCTTTTCCCAGGCTCACAACACTCAACGGGGCGGGGCACAGGTGGCTCACAGCCTCCAGGCAGGCAGTCACAGGAAGCTCACACAGCTGTGCTGTGAGGTCAGGGTGCCACAGCGACACACAGCCCCATCCTAACTCGGGAACACAGAGCTTCCACACGTGCTGATTTCTGTAGGACAAATGCTAAATCGTCCCTCAAAAGGATGAACTTATTTGTTACAACTTTAAGATGAACTTTAAAAATCACCGTTTTGGAAAATTCTTCTGTTTCCACGCTTCAGTGTTCTGATTCTGTGTTAATAACCATCTCCTATAATCTGCCCAATTCACTGAGCAATATAATTAAGTTCTACCCTTCTTAACTAGGTTCTTTCAGATTCCTATGTAGGTAAACTAAGCATTCACAAGTAATGTTTTGTTTTGTTTTGTCTTGTTTTTTTTTTGTGGTGCTGGGGATTGAACCCAGGGCCTCGTGCATGTGAGACAAGCACTCTACCAACTGAGTTATATCCCCAGCCCCTGATTTTTTTTGCCCCACAAAATCAATTCTTATTTTGCTTTCTTGTCTAATGTTGCAATGATGAGCGCTAATCGAGCAAAGATGAGTAAAAGCATCTGTTTCTCTGACTTGACTTTATTCTCTTAGGAACCAAAGAAAAAGTGTTTCTCTTCCTCGTTTCCTGGGTATTCTTATTCACTTTGGTTGTTGAGGTTCGTACCTCTTAGAAAGCAAACACAGCTTTTCTCCTGTGTGATGTTTCATTTCCCACTTGCCTGCTCTGTTCCCGGCCTTATCTCTGCTGTATTTATTGCCTAATGCTGCCTGCTGTGAGGACTTGATTGGTTCCCATTTCTTTAGAAAGTTCTCCAGGCCTCCTCTCCTTTCCCGGGTCTCTTTTTTCTTTTCCTCATGGTGCTTCCTAACTAGCACATGAATTGGGATATGTGTCTGCATTTCTTTCGTTTCCCGGGGGTCCTGCCACAGTTCTCATCCCTGGCTGCGGTGGCTTCCCTCCCCTCTCCCTGTCCGCCTCTTGAAGGCGGATTGCGGTTCCTGGCCATCCTGTGTGACTGAGACCAGGGGCCGAGGGGCTGGGAGCGCTGTGATCTGCCGGTGGCCGTAAGGTGCGGTGACTTGTTTCACATTGTTCCTCATCACCTCATCTGTGTCCTGGGCAAAACCCGGTTCCTCGGCTCTGGGCCTTCCTCCCCGAGGGGTGAGCTGGGGGCCAGAACAGCATCCTGGTCACAGATCCTTCCACTGACTGCTCTGCACACACCAAGCTGTCATTGCGCCTGCCCTTCCCCACCCACTCCACGAAGCCTCAAGCATTCTTCCTGGGAAAGGCTGGGAACTGGGCAGGCCGTGCAGGTGGGCAGTGCAGTGGCTCCCGGCCATCCCTGACCCCACTCCACCCCCAGCAGGGTCCTGGGGTGTTTCCTCCTGTGGTCTGCCCCGTTTCCCACACCATATGTTCCTTTGAAAGACCTTTCTGGCTATGGTCAAGGTACATGCACTTACTTCTGAGGAGAATACAGGTGTCTCCGTGTGGTCCAGGCTGAATTCTGTGATTTTCCCTGGGAGCCACTGGTGCTTGGCCTCCAAGCAGACTGAAGGCTGGTTTCGGTGGTCCATGGTCTGTCCAGCCGTTGTCAGCCAGTCTTGCTCGCTGCAGTGAAACACCAGGAAGAATCCACTTACAGAGAGAAAGGCTTATGTCAGCTCACAGTCTTGGGGGTGCAGTGCCAGGTCCCTCTGTCCATCACTAGGGCCCGTGGTGAGGCTGTGTCAAGAGCTGGGGGGCCCAGGGAGGAGGCCTGGCTGGGCTCTCTACCACCTCCCAGTAGTGCCACCCCGAGGAACAAGCCCCTAGCAAATGGACGTTTGTGCACGATGTCCAAGCCACAGCAGCCATCCCTAACCCTGACCCTCACCTTAGGGGTACACTGCCTTTCCAAGCCACAGCAGCCATCCCTAACCCTGACCCTCACCTTAGGGGGACACTGCCTTTCCAAGCCACAGCAGCCATCCTGCCTCTGGGCAGATGAGAAGTGCCCTGAGCTAAGCACAGCCAGGCACCCTCCCTGTCCTGTACCCCGGCTCTGCAAGTGCCAGTCCCTGTGCTGGGGGTCAGTGCCTCCGGCATGCAGCTGTTTATGACCATTATACCCCCGTTGACCTGCAAGGTCAGCAGACCACTGTGGAAAGGAGTCGGATCAGCATGGCAGCTGGCAGGTCTGTGTGAGTGGGATCAGCGACTCCTCTCTTCATGACTCTCTGCTCAGCTGTGACCTGCAATGACCCCAGGTCTCACTGCTTCTGAGAAGGTGAGACACAGACACTTCTAGAAGACACAGGACCATGAGAGCAGCACATCTTCCCATATCCAGCGCGACGCTGGCTCATGCTGTGGCCAGTGGAGCCTGCTACCTCCCCCACAGCCACCAGCCTCACTGTTTCTTAATTTCCAAAATAAAGTCAAAGCCCCACATAATTTAGAAGAAAGAAATAATGTCTTATTTTAAAAGGAATGAGAATTAGATTGGCATCCAGCTGCTTCTCACGACATTAAAAGCAAGAAGGTAATGTAAAAATACCACACATTTCCAAGAGTAAAGGGCTATGAATTCTGACAATTGGAAACACAAAAGCAGGGCTGGTGCAGCTCAGATAAAGACCACACCCAGACACAAGGCCTGGGCTCCTATCTAGCAACAAAAACCAAAACCAAGCAAAACGGCTTTCCTAAGGATTCAGAGGGTGAACTAGCCATGAAGACTTGATAGAAAACCACCTGAAAATGTGGCCATGAAACAGAGAAGTAGAAAAGGAGAGGGGCTTCCCCCTAGTACTGGGGAAAGAAGGCAGGGCCTCATTGGAGAGTTTCTGATAGAAATATAAGGCCATCGTAGTTCCCCGTGATCCTGAGACTCCACTCAGTGACGTTAAAAACTCACATATATGATACAGGCATGGTCGACTTTGCCTGCACAACGTTCCGGTATCCTAGAAGTGTGCATGGGAAGGGAATGAACAGTGAACCCTATGTGCATCTGTGTGCCTACATGGGCCTGCCAGAATATGCAGGGACAGAGGGACTATGGCAAGGGACATGTTGAAAAGAAGATGTCACACAAATTTTCCAAGACAGAAAACACGCTGAAAAGTGCAGACAGCAGGATGGAGGTGGCCACCAGTGGGCAGCATGAGGGCAAGGTGGACCAGAAGAGAGCAGATGAACTCTAACAAATCTGGGAGCTGTGGGGGACACTGCTGGCCACAGTGGCAGGCATGCAGAGGTGGAAGCTTGCCTGGGGAGACCTGGCCGTCCGCAAGTGAGCACGCAGGGGGAAAGGGGACAGTCCAGGACCAGGACTCCATGTCCACACACAGCTGTCAGCCACCCCTTCCCTCGGGAGCAGCCAACTGTCCATCCCCCTGTGTGAAAGCTGGGTGGACGTGGGTCCTGGGGCTGACCACTCACGTGATTGGCCATCAGGAAGACATGACTAATAAGGGCAACCTGGATCTTGGGGAAAAGTGAAAACTCAGAAAACTGACCTTTCTCAAAGCACAGGGAAGAAATATCATTTTGAAGTCATGGCTTGAATAGGTATATAATAAAATTATAGCAATTGCATATTCATGGGTCTCTAGATAGGGACCTATTTTATGATCCATTAATGTTTTATATGTTCAAAAATTTTCAAGATGAAGTATTAAGAAAATGAGATTCTTGGAGAAATAGAATAAACATTTTTACGTAAGATAATTCTGGGGCTTGGGTTGTGACTCTTTTGTGAACATCTGTCTAGCACATGCAATGCCCTGGATTCCATCCACATCTGCAGAAGGAAAGAATGATGGAAGGAAGGAAGGAAGGAAGGAAGGGAGAGAAGGAGGGAGAGAAGGAGGGAGGGATGGGGAGGGAGGGAAGATACTAGTTAGATTTGCATGAAATAAAAATTAATCATAAGAAAAAAACAGACTCCACTAGCTGAGTGATTAGAAAAACTGGAAGTCACAATCAAGAAAGTCTTCCAGAGAGGGGTGGGGAATGGCGAGGAGAGAAGGAGAGAGAAGAATCCAAGGTCTGGGCTAGGGCTGTAGCTCAATGGTGGGTGCCTGAAGATGAAGTCCAAGGTCTGACTAGTAGGAGTCTCAGGAGGGAGACCACCACCGTGGAACAAACTACCAAGTCGGTGGCCCGGGAGCCAGGGTGCTGCACAAACACGTGGGTGTATGCTGTGAAATTTCAAAATAGGAAAGAATATAAAGGATTCTTCCGGCTTCCAGAAGAAGAGCTGTCCTCTGCCAAGATCAGCCACCAGCATGACCTTCAGCTGTGACGGCCAGCCCTGGATGCTGCAAGGCTGTCATACGTCAAGGGCTGTAACGGCCACCGGGTGAGGATGGCCCCACGTGGGAGCCCACGGGGAGTCTCAGTGACACAGTGCAGCGTGACACGGGCTTTCGAATGTGCAGGTCCACCCCTGGGAAGGGAGAGGTGTGATAACAAATCCACTTCCGTTGAAACCTGCGTTGGGCACAGTGAGTTCAGCAATTCCTTCCCAGAAGCCCAGCTCCCTTCCCTGGCCCCATCTCTGTTGATTTTATGTTTCTTTCCCTTCTTCTACCACACATAGGATTCTTTTTAAAAAATATTTATTTAGTGGTAGTTGGACACAATGCCTTTATGTATGTCTTTATTTTTATGTAAGGCTGAGGATCAAACCCAGGGCCTTGCATGTGCTAGGCGAGCGAGCAGCCTGCCACTGAGCCACAACCCAGCCCCACAGGTAGGATTCTGTCTTTCTGCTACTTCTTTCTTTTCTTTAGCGCTGGAGGTGGAGCCCAGCGCCTCACGCAGGCTAGATGAGCACCCCACCTCTGAGAGCACCCCACCTCCAAGGCACACCACAGCCTCTCACAGAGGCAGACCACGATGGAAGAGGTGCAACCAGGGTAGAGCTGCAGTCTGAATTCTGCAAGGGTTCATGGAGCCTTCTGGAAGTGTGTGGAGCGGTCCCCATCTGTCCAGCAGTCCAAGCCCAGCGCTCTTTCTGAACCAAGTGCAGGGAACTCAAAATACTTCCATCTGTCCTTCCTTATCTGTAGCAAATTGATTTCACAACTGGGCCAGATGTTAAATGCCAAGCCCCACATAAAAATGCTTGCCAATCACCACTAAGCCTGAAAACGTCTCTCTCCTAACAACAGGAAACAGAAGTTAGAGGCCCCGAAGGGAGAAATAAACCTGTGGTAACTAGATAGAGCAGGACTGCATGCCACGTTCCTCAAAACCCGAGGGACTCCTGGGGGCAGGCACCAGGGTCGATACCCAGTGGACACGTGGGGTTGAGGGTCCCTGCCCTCGGGCAGAACCCAGGCCAGCAGAGGAGGACCCTGTCCTGCGCGGTGTGTGCGGACAAGGAGTCACAGCACAGGAAGACCTCTGAGTCCCGGTCAGTCGGTGTGTGCATCCCAGCTCATGAGCTTTGCAGGAGCAAGCATATTTCAGTCGGGATTTTATGCCCTCCCGTGACAATGGGGACTTCATGGACAGAAGGTTCAGCCAAGTTTTCCCGAGTTGCTGTCCCCTGAATGCCTGGTTTTCTCTGGATAGGTGGCGGCTTCTCCTTCTGTGTTGTGCTCCTGGTGCCTGCAGCCCTCTGTTCTCGGCTCCTCTGAAAGCCGCCACATGGGCCTCCAGGGCTTGGCCTGCACAGAACCGTCTCCCTGGCTCCCCCGGCGAGTGCCTGGAACTAGGACTGGACTGCGTGATGGCCAGGTTCGCATCTTCTCCTGACCTGTCCCTTCGCTCAGCTTCCTGTCTCCACGCCCGTGCTGGCTGCAGCAAGCAATCCGCAGTTATCCTGTCCCTTGGAGCCTGGCTCTTGCAGAAGTGAGCTCACTCTACACTCCACACTGGCTGCACCTCCGCCTCTGGCCCCCTACTGGGGGTAGTGTGTGTGTGTGTGTGTGTGTGTGTGTGGGAGAGAGAGGGGGGGGGTGGGGGGCTAAGCCGTCTGCTCTTGGACTCTGTTCCCCTGAGTTCAACCACTCCCCTCCAGAGTCTGGGTTTCTTGGTAGTTTCAGGGAGGTGCAGGCCTAGAGCTAGGTAGGTAATACACACAAAGGCATTTCAAACCCAGAAGGGACAGAGTGAGGGGGATTAGCCAGTGGTTCGCAAAGCACCGTGCTCTCCACTTGTGAGGCTGCTGTCGGGCGCAAGGGGCAAATCCAGGCTGTGACGCCAAATAGCAGGTCAAATGTGCAGCGTGGCCCCCAGTGCAGTGTGGGCCATGGCTAGTTTCTGAAATCGTGAAATGAATTTTAAGAAAGAGTTGTGACCATCTCTTAGAAGCCTTCAGGGATGCCATCCTCAAACCCAAGCACAGATTTTGCTATGTGCCATATTTACCCACACATATAAAAAGCCCATTTTTGTTCCCTGTGAAACAAAAATAAGCTTCTATAAAGTCATTTCATAAGCTGTTGGCCACAGTTATTCTGGCACACCTACTGGGCAACGTGGGGTTGAGATTCACGAGACTCCCGCTCCTGGGGCTCGGCCCCTGGGTGACAGGTACCATCTCCCTGGCCTCTCGGGCTGCACCAACACAACATGAGAACCCCCTGTCCTCCCACCTCCGTGACCACATGCTCTGATGAGCTCAGCCCTTCTTGGGCCAGTGCCCGCGTCCTCACCACACCCCCTGCATGCCGTATGAAACACATGTGTGGCAGGACTTATCACAAGCAGATGTTTGGGATCAGGAGAGGGAAACAGATTTGGCTCTGGGGCAAGTTACACAAAAACTGCGAAACGGTCACCGTTAGCATTGTCTTACCCCCGGCCGGAGCTTCCCTCTTCTTCTCTCTCTGGGCTGCCCTCATCAGTCCTGCCTGGCTTGAAGGCTTTGGTGTGTGCCCCTCTGTGGTTTCACTCCGTGGAGCAGGGGCATGGAGAACCCTAACCAGGAGGCAGTTCAGAGGAGACAGGTGACGAGGACGGCCAGGCTGTGACTCATTCTCCATCCTGCTCTGGTTTTCCAGCCCAGTCTCCCGAGGCTGTGCAGAGCCCCTGCCCTCTGGCCTCCCCTGCTGGCTGGAGCCTCCCCACAGCCCCAGCTCTTGTTTTCTGTTCCTTGCACCTGCACTTTGTGAAACCACTTCCTCGTTCCTGGTCTTTAAATAGCCAGTTCCAGAAGACTTATGTTCTGCAGTGATTCTTCTTGGGTCTCATTGTGAAACTCGCTGCCTTGTGGTCCCTTTCTTCTCTGGTAACTTCCCTGTTGCCTCTTTACTGACCCTTCACCTGAATTTCTTAGATCTTGCTCTTAGGTACACTTGACCTGTGAGCTAATTCATTTACTCAAAGTAGCTAAAACTGCTTTCTGGGTGCTAGACTCCCAGAATCCATGACTGACCATGACCGGCCTGTTGATTTAGACCATCGGGCATGAGGGTTCCAACCGCCATAGGGTCTCAGGCTGCAGCCGCTCTGGGCACGTGTGCCTGCAGACTTCGCTCTAGCTACCTACCGTGCGCAGTGCATTCTGACTCGTTTCATCCTTAAGGACCTTTGCAAAGGAACTATAAACTATGAGATCGGAACCCTATGAGGTACTGCTGTGGACTACATGTTTCCCCCTCACCCATCCCAATGCACATGTTGGAATCCTACCCCCATGATGGTTTTAGAGCCTCAAGAATGGAATTAACACCCTCATAAAAAGTTACCAGGTGGGCTAGGGATGTCGCTCAGAGGCAGAGCTCGTGCTTAGTGTACTCAAGGCCCTAGATTCAACACCTCCACTACCACACACACAAACACTGTAGCCAAATACACTGGTGCACACCTATAATCCCCGCGACAACAGAGGCTGAGGCAGGATGGCCTGGGCCATTTAGTGACACCGTCTTAAAAAAAAGACTGGAGATGTTGCTCATGGTAATGCACCCCTGGGTTCAGTCCCCAGGACCAGGGGTAAAACACTTGCCTAGCTGTGTGAGGCCCTGAGTTTGATCAGCAGCACCACAAAATGAACAAATAGGTAGAGTCTCGCCCTGTCTCTGCTCCCTGAAGGACCCAACCAGAAGAGGGCCCTGTCACCACAAGACCTGCCGCAGCCTCTAGGACCAGGAGGAATTCATGTTTGTGGTGTACGCCACCCGTCTAAGGCAATCCTTATCTCCAGACGAGAACAAAGGACAGCAGACGCTGAGGACAGGCCCTTGTCACTGTTTACGGACAGACAGATCTTAGTTTACAACTAGGTTACAAACCTTGTATAAGGTACTTCAAATACCATTTAATTTCAATGCTTTCAATGCACAGGACAGAAATGAAAGTGAGAACTGTGTGAACCCTGCGAGTGCCAGACTGTGAAATCGCCTTCACATGTGGCTTGTAGCCCAGAGTCCAGGCTGTTCCTTCCTCCAGTACGTGCGTGCCTGGTGTCAGCTGCGACCGAGTGCCGTTCTACAAGGTCATGCATTAAGTCTCCCTAAAAGACAGCTACAGTACAGTTACACTAACAACTGCAAACACGGACGGAGTTCATTATCAGACACTGTGATAAGTGTTTAAATGCCTATTGGATCCTCATAAAAATTCTAAGATGGATTACCCATTTCATGCATGAGAAAACTAAAGCTCACAAAGGTCGATAATCTCCCCAGACTCACCAAACTTCTTGCCCATAAGTCCTATATAAAACACTGAAAAACATATTACACAATTGGTTTGTTATTATTTATTACAGTGTTTTGTTGACCAAATCAGAGTTATACACATGTTTATGGAGGAAAGGCAGAAAGGATCAAATCTTTTTTCTTTAACAAACTAGGCAATAGAAAATGTTTCATATGAACATGATAAGCATGATTTAAAATGATTACACTGAAGTTTTCAATTTAATTTTAACAGTTTGGTAAAAATATCTTAAAATGATTGATGACTTTAATTAAATTATATCAAATCACTTTAATTTGGTCCTGGAGTGCTGGGTGATAAGGTCCTCGAGAGTCAACGTTCTCTGAACTATATGCCAAATAAGTCCATGAACATACCATGACGAGTAAAAGATACGCCCAGATGCGTAGCACATGAACTTCTTACAAAGTCAGTCTTTTCAACTTTTTTTTTGTGTGAAACATATTAAATGTATAAAGAAGTGATAAACATTTATGTACAAACCAAATAATTCATCTGTCCAACCCACGCGTACATAGCAGGAGCTTGCTGTGGGGACTCAGCAAGAGGGTGGGAAGACGTTGGGTGTCCCCCCAGAACCTATGGGAAGAAAGTCTGCTCCAGCGGAAAGACCCTCAGAGAAGGGAGGCTGACGGCGCCACCCTGGACTCGGGTGTAGGCGCTTCTTGTGGAAAATCTGAGAAGACCCCCCAGCGTCTGGCAGGGGAGGGATAAGGATGATGAAGTACCCAGAAATAAAGGCCCACTCTCTCTCCAGGGACAGAGCGTGGCCAGAGCTGGACAGAAGCAGGGAAACAGCATCCCCAACCCTCTCCCTGCAGCCTTCTCTTCCCTCCTGCAGGGAGGAGCATGAAACAGCCCACAGGGGTCAAGGGTCACAGCAGGGGTGCTGCACCCAGGCAGGGAGGACCCAGCAGGGGAGTCAGCAGAGAAGCTTCTGTGAAGGCTGCAGACGCCTCAGGCACGGGCCACTGAGGACTGAGACAGGGACACTACTCACTGCAGCCCGCAAAATCATCTTTCAGAAGTGAAGAGAAATACAGCAATCAAACTCTGAATTAGATCTTCTGTGCAGACCTGCCTTGCAAACAGTGTCAAATGACAGTTGTTTGGGCAGAAAGACCTACACAAAGGAATGAACACTGTCAGGGAAGGAATACACAGAGGTAAAACATCTCTTATATGAATCGATCTGAAAGCAGAACGGCTGCAAGTAAAGCTCATACAGATGTGCTGAACAGCTACAGCATGTCCCGCAGAGTGAACTGAACAGCCTGCAAGGCACAGGCACAGAGTGCCCACTCAGCTGCCTTGGGCCAGGTGAACAAGAACCTCGGGAAAGAACTCATGTATTAAGAGCAGATACAATAGAGTAATTAAAAAAGGTCAACACAAGAAAAAGCAAGAAAATAGGCAAAAACAGATTAAGAACAGCCAACAGAAAACAGCCACGAATATGGAAGATGTCAGTAAGCAACTTAAATGCCAGTGCTCTATAACCAAGCTGCACAGAAACAGACTGTCCGTGTACACAGGGTAAGTCCCAGCCAGGAGCTGTCTACGGGAGACCCAGTTTGCACATAAAGATGCAGTCAAAAGAAAAAGAAGTCAAGCTAGTGTAAAGTAAAAGAAAGCCAAGAAGCTGCATTAATTTTATACAGCAAGACCTCAGAACCAGAAAGATTATCAAGGTTCAAAAAGAGGTATTACATAATTATGAAAGGGCATATTCTCCAAGTGGATATGATTAAAAAATATTCTGTACTAAAAATGAAAATGCAACATATCAAAATTTGTGGGATGCTATAAAAACAATACTTAGACAAAAGTTTACAGCATTAAATATACTACTAGAAAAAGAAGAAAGGTCTAAAAGAGCAGAAATCAATGCAATTGCAACACAAAACAATAGTGAGAAATCATTAAAACTAGAGTTTGGTGCTTCAAGAAGACCAGTGCAATTGACAAGCCTCTAGCAAGTGAAACAAGAACAAAAAGAATAAACAAATTACCATATCAGAAATGAAAGAGGGGTAATCGCTGCCAATTCCACAGACATAAGGATGTAATGAACAACTCTAGGCCCACACATCTGTTCATGTTCTCTCGAAAGGCAGAAGTGAAACTCACAGGAGACACATACAACCCAGATATCCCTCTATTATCTGAGAATTGAATTAATACCCCTCCAAAATGGAGCATCAAGTCCAAATAGCTTCACTATACATATATCCTGCCATATACTTCAGGTTAAAATGACACCACTTTTCCATAATCTCTTCCAGAATGAGAAACAGTGGCTTATTAGTATAGTAACACAGTGACAGGGTGCAGAGGGGGTAACAGAGGGAAGCCACTTCCCACCTCACCCACTCCCAGGATAAGAACCACAGTAGGTATTTTAAATAACAATGTTGAGAGAAAATGGAACTCTAAAGGGGCAACCATTCAACAAAGGATGGTCTCTTCTGTGCATTTGGTTTGGAACAGAATGTGCCTAACAGAGGAGAAATGGAAAACTTGGCTCCAGGCCCAGGCCACCCCTCACCAGGGGACCTTTAGCCTCTGTGTATGGTACAGTAACACAGTGACAGGAAGGAGGTGCAGAGGGGGAAACAGAGAGAAGCTAGGTTCCACCTCATCCACTCCCTGGATAAGAAGCACAGACAGTTCAGGTCCTACCACCTCTCAGGGTGCTCTGAGATCTTTTGGAAAATTCATTTCTCCCTTAAACACGTACTGAACACCTAGCTCTGCACCAGGCAATGATCTCAAGTGCAATGGAGAATGGAACGTGCTCTTCCCCTTTGTGGAGCTGACATTTTAATGGGGGAAGACACGAAAAATAGAGCAGGGAAGGAAGGTGGGATGGGTAGGAGGAGTGGAAAATGAGGTGTTTAGGGAAGGCCGTCTGCACACAAGTCCGTAAGGTGAGTGGGTTGTCAGGGAGATGCAGCAAGAAGGCCGCACCTCAGTGTGGCTGGAATCAAGTTGAGCCCGGGATGGTGACGGGGTTGAGGCGCAGACCATATAGATAAGGAGTTGGCTCTCTTATAGATAAGGGGTTGGGAAGCCGAAGTCTGAGCAGAAGAGGGACATGATCTGACCTATGTTTTAACAGGGTCACGAGACTATGTGTGGGGAAATTCCAAAGAGGTCAGGGATGGCAGGAGGAAGACAGGTTCAGGGGCAACTGCATTGTAGACAAGACAGGCTGGCTTAGACTGGATGAGGGTGGCAGTAGGGGACATGGACAGAGGGACAGCACAGGACCTTCTGACACATTGCATGTGACGTGTGTAAGAGAATGAGTCAAACACAGGAACAGTTCAGGTCAGAACACAGGAGTTACTGAGATAAACAAGCTTCTTTAGAACTTAGAACATTACACACAGTGATAGTGATTATTTCATTCTCTATCAAAGGCCAGGTTTTTAACAGATTAAAATCTATCATGACGTGAGGTATTTCGTGACTTCCAACAATTTTAACTCTGCAAAACTCACTCATTGGAGGTCAGATTACAACACTGGAAGTTTTAATCAGAAAAGGTTTTATTATAAGAAACAATGACATCAGGTAAAAATGCAAAAAATTGTGCAATTACGGCAAAATGTTTAAAAATATCTACACATTTGCCCCCATAGGACTACAGTACTTACTACATACCTGAGCACTGAACATCAAATGCCATATTACACTGCTTCACACAGGGAATCCGATTCCTTACAGATCACATCCACCTTTTCTCATGCACCAGTGAAATCTGCCTGACGCTTAAGCATCAACTTGTAAGATAACAGAAAACAAAGATGGAAAATAAAGAATACAATTTCTACTTTCCTATGACACAGTTATACCAAGTCCAGTTTTCTATGTGTAAAAAATACATAGGAAAGTGCTACATACATTCTTCAAATGCAGAAACACAGCTAAAGTGGGACACGGCAGACTTACCCCTAATCTGTGGCAGCCACCGTGTCTTTCACTTATATTCTCATACTATGAAAATGTGCCATCAAGTGTCTACACATTGACCCACACAGAGCACTAGGTTTTCTAGGACCTCTTTTGAAGCCATTTTAAACAGTGGCCAAACATCTGAGCTATATAACAAACAGTTCTTCATATAAAATCCAATAGGTATTCTGCTGCTCTAGCAAATTCCAAGCATTGGCCCTGACACACTACACTTAGATCATACCCTTGATATAAACTGTTATAGCAAAAGGATCAACCATTGTAGAGATCCACAGAATAAATCTGCTGTAGAACGAACCACAGCTTTGTTCTCTTCTGGATCCTACAGCACACAAACACTCAACGTTCTGTCTCGTTTTCAAGTAACATATTTTTCTAAATACAGAAGATTGTCAAAAAGCGGAAGAAAATCTTAGATACTCAACAAAGCTTGCAAAATAAATTACATGGTTATCTCTTGCAGAACTGGTTGTATTTCCCCCTGTCCTCAGCAATGTAAAACTGTAAAAAAACAAAACTGGAAATAACCAAAAGATAAAATAAAAGACAAAGAAACCTGGGGGTGGGGTAAGATATTGGCCGACAACGCTTGTCAAGAGATCACAGATGCACTGTCGAAGCCAATAAATAGAAGCCACGTATCTAGCTTTCTAGGACTAGATTTTAAGATGTTAAGTCTACAAAGGCCATCCACTTGAACTTCCACTTCAGAAAACTGTCCCTACTTATAGAGGTCTTTGAAAAGCAGTTTGGAAAGTTTCTGAAAAACGAGGTATGTGATGCAAAGAGGCAATGTTTTAAATTGTTTTCACAGTATCATATTACAATTTGTGCAAGAGTGTTTAATACAAACCACGCAAGTTTGCTTTCTTCAAGAAAATCAAACTGTTCTGACTGAGGACAGACGGGGCTGTACTTAAATCCTTTATCAGACATTCTAGGCAGAGGCAAGACGACGTTCCAGTCCAGATACTTGTCTCAGATCCACAAACAAGTCTGTCCTTCATGTCAGTATTTCCTAACTCACTGTTAGAAATTCACCAGTTAAATGTGAAAAACGACCTCGTACCCATAGCCATGGTTCTGTTCTCTCACTCTTCCTTGATCACCTTCAGCTAGAACGAGTATTTCAATGTAAAGTATTCATTTCTGTTAAGTGCAAAAGGAAAATGATGAGGTTGTAATTGTAATATGAAATTTTAAAAGTCATTAAACTATTAAACCACTGGAGGAATTTTATGTTTCTGAGAAAACAAAATTTTAGAAGTAGATGTAAATCTTCACATTATGAGTTAACTTTCACTGGACTGGCAATCTGGACAGGCAGAGGCTGGAAAAGGAGGTAGGGCAATAAAATGGCCCCTGTTAGTGCAAACTTGGTACAACAGTCTGTTCTCCCACTGAATCCAGTCGGACAGTACCTGGCCACACCTTATCACAGTTAGCAAACCCTGTGAAATCACAAGAGGTCGACAGAGTACCACGGCCAAGAAACTCACGTACTCATGTCAAAGGAGAGCGCAGGCTCAGACCATTTCAACACTGTGTAGCTTGCTACACACCCAAATTAATTGATGCTAGCACCAGCCACCTGCCAATCTGAGCCCTTTCCAGGATTTAAAAAAATGAGACAGTGTTAGCACTTGAAGAAGTTTCTGACAGAAAACTGCCGCTTAAAACTTTAGCTTAACTTAAAGGTACGTGGGAAACGTGAAACCGTGGAACCAATAAGTTCTCTCTGAGACTAAGTTTCTCCTTCAGTCAGCTCTAGTGACAACGCATTTAAATCTCAGTCCACTTGAAAACAGTACACAAAAATATACATGTAAATACATATAAATATTAAGAATGAGGATCTAAGTTAGTGCTTCTGTGTTAGAGGTCACAGCTAAACAACTCCTAGTGATATTGCCTCAGATTGTTACCCGTATTTAAAATAAAGAGTCAGGTCCACCTGGTCTGTGTGTCTCCACCCAGGGACACCCTAACTGCGCTGATGGAGTGCATAGTTGTCTCGACTCCTCTAGTACCTTAGTGGCTATCACAAAACTCTAGGATGACAGGTTACTTAAATGCCAGGGGGAGAAATGCTGATAATTGCACTTTGTCACCTTTACCTTACTGAAATGAAAGCATCAGAAAAGCGAAAGCGAGTCCCTCTAAGTTGTGAGCTTAGAAGCACCTATTTCTGTGCACAGAACTCGGCTTTCTTAAAGACAGACAGCGCTTCTTAGGACAGGTCTCCTGGCACGAGCGGCCAGAGACGCTGCGAGGCCCGCTGCTCTAGAGCACTTTCTGAAGACATTGAGGGTAGAGTTTGGCAACAGCACACTCAAAGTGCCGGCCCAGGTCCCAGAGCCGATCCGGAGTCTCGTACACCTTCACCCACTGGTCGGCCGCCTCATCATACTGGTACAGGGAGTTCTTCCTGCTGGTTCTGAAGACATGCTCCTCCACAGTCACCTGAGTAGCTCGCACAAACAGGTGAAGTTTATTCTGGAAGAGGACCAGCTTGAGGTACGGGTTGATGGACTGATCGCACGGGAAGTCCTTCTTGCGGGTCCACTTGTTCAGCTCAATGTTGTAGGCCTCCACGGTGAACATGCGCTGGTGATTCCCACTGGTTCCCGCCACATAGTAGATGCAGTCCTCGTACACCGCAGCCAAGCCCTGGATTCGAGGCACCGTCATGGGGGTTAGAAACCCCCAGTAGTCTTTTTGAGGCTCATAGAAGAGGAAAAATTCTCCTAGAAAGAGAAAACAAAAATGTGTACATTTTTATGTTTATTTTTGGTCATAGGCTGTTGTTCCAACCACGAGATAAAGGAGCATGATTTTCCAGATATTTCATTTTCTAAAATAAACAATGTAACAGATCCTGTTACGTTGGGGTGTTTCTTCTGGGGAGGTGTAATGCGTCTCTCTGGCTTGATGGCCAAATAACAGTGAAGAGCTTGGTTCCATTTGTTCCAACCAATGTGTGTCACTGAAGGTTTATTTTAGGCCAGCTCTGAAACAGCATTATTAGGAATGCTCAGTCAGTAAGGCCAAACATATACATACAGCTTACTCATGCACACTGCTACCTATTTCTAATTAATTAAAAGACCAGTTCAGACTGGTGCTTATAGGTCACTGATGTACTTACCTGAGTGCTCCTATAATGCAGAGATAAATTTCAACAAGAGAAAACCTGGCTTTCATACACATGCACTGTTTATGGAGTTGACTGAGAGAATTTGGCAATAAACAGTATGCCAAATGAGACTGAAAATACGAAAACGTCTATTAGAATTAGTGAAGACTCACAAGAATTTTACTAACATTTGTACAAAATCTTGTAGATGTTTCAGATCTGGGAGTGTCTGCATATACACAAGTTGATATCTGGATGCTCAAGTTGTTTGTACATTATGACTATACAATCCATTTCATTTTTTTAATGTAAATAAGCTTTGTTTAAATTATAAATACCTGCTTTGAAATTCAGCTTCCCCTTGAAATCTATTTTAAACTGGAGTCACTCTCCTCTGATGTTCAGCAATGACATCTGAACCTCGTTTTCCGCAGGTCCCAGCTTTAATCGCTTGCCTAATTCACGACTATCAGTCAGAGGAATCAAAACTTTAATGTGTGCAAATTCTCCAGTTTTTTTTACAGGAAGGAAAAGATGACACACATAAAAAGTTGATTTTTTAAGATCTAAAGTCCTCTTTAATAAAGTGAAATCAATAAGCAATTAAGAAAAACCCCATGGCCTCAGATTCTTCTTATATAAAATACAGCCTTGGATTAAATGATGCTCACTCTGAAGTCCCATTAATTCACTGCTGTTTTGCTGTAGTAGTTGCACACACATGACCTTTACATTCCTCTGGCTGTCCTATGGTAAACCCTACCTCTGTCCCTGAACCAGTGAGCCACAGGCACTCTTCATACCAGGCCACATACATTCTACATTCTTAGGTTCCATTTTTTGGCAAGACCAACCAACCCAAATCATGCTGTACTTCTGTGTAACTAAAAGAAGGCACTATTCCTTCTGGAAAATTAACCTGAAGCCGAGATATTCAGGCATTTTCAGGAGGTTTTAGGTAAAGGGTTGGAGCAAAGACCATGATTTTTAAAAATAGGTAGATAAGGGCTTAAAAATCAGGTCTATCTTCATGATAGTGGCCTCTCTTTCTGTTTTATTAAAGCAGTAGTGGAGGAAAACATTTACATATAACCCATTAAGAAACACAGAAGAAAAAGAAAGGTTTTGGTCATATCTATGTTGCACTCAGCATTCAAGCAACTGAAAGGTGTAAGAAAAAAAACTTGAGAGTCTTGGGCTGGGGATGCGGCTCAAGCGGTACCGCGCTCGCATGCGCTGGGCGCTGGGTTCGATCCTCAGCACCACATAAAAATAAAGATGTTGTGTCCACAAAAACTAAAAAATAAATATTTAAAAATCCTTTCTCTTTAAAAGAAAAAAAAAATTGAGAGTCTTGTTCTCACAGTCAGAATCCCGTTCCCTCTTCCTGTTGCTCTACTTAGCACCGGTCCTCAAAACTAAACACAAGTCACTCCAATATTAGCAACAGTAAGAAAAAGGTGACATCTGAAAGTTTTTCAGAGCAAGGAAATTGAAAACAACCTGTCATGAAAGGCAACACAGTGGAATTAAAACCTGAAAGCTATAATTTCAACCTCTTTGTAATCAATTTTCATAACTCTGGCAACGATAAGGCGTATGCAGGGGCTGGGGATGTGGCTCAAGTGGTAGCGCGCTTGCCTAGCATGCGTGAGGCACTGGGTTCGATTCTGAGCACCACATAAAAATAAAATAAAGATATCGTGTCCACCTAAAACTAAAAAATAAATATTAAAAAAAAAGGCATATGCAAAACCCTCTGGTAACCGAGAACCTAACTATAGTTAAAGCTTTGTCCTTTTTTCTTTTAAACCAATCCAGTAAGTTCCATAAAACAGCAATTGTTACATCTCTTGGTCATTCATATTATTAAAGAATAAAAATTGCCACATATTGACATTATTGTTCAAAATCTTAAAACTACTCTGAAATAGTCCTTCCAAAACTCTGCACTGTTTATTACCGAAGACTTCGAGAGTACTTATTCTATATGATAACACGGGCAAAAAACTTGGAGGATCAATGTAGTAATGGAAAAATACTTTTAAGCATTTTAAACTTTTTGGTTCAAAAGTTTACTTTCCTTAAAGGTTCTCCACAGAACAGACTGTTCTAATGGTTTATGATGAGGAAGGCAGAGAAGCCTTGACCACCAGGAACCGTCAGGCACAAGGAGGGCACGCATGTGCTACCTGCCATGGGGCATGCAGGCCCGTGGTCACCTACCCTGTAAGACATAGATCTTCTCTCTGTACTCCACGGCACTGTGGAACTCCATGGCGACAGGCATTGCACACACAGTCCTCCAACAGTTCTCTCTGCTGTCATAGCATTCCACGGACTTCAGGGAGTTACGCCCGTCACCCTCGTAAACGCGACCTCCAATGGCATACATTTTACCACAGCAGTACACCAGTCTGCAGCCTATCCTGGCTCGAAGCAAGGAAGGTTTGGACAGCCATCTATTGGTGGAATGGTCATACATCCAGAAATCGTTTTCTGCCTTGTGGTCAATGGAGACCTCACTGCTGCTTGGCCTGTACCCTCCTGCAATGTAAATGTCATTATCTGGCGATACCAGAATCCCAACTTCTCTCAGGTCATTCGGTGGTTTGCATAGCTTAAACACCCTTCCTGTGGCAATATCCAGACAAGGCACTGTTTGCTTCTTTATCGAGTGTTTGTGGGCAGCATCGAAACATATGATCATTTCAGAAGCAGTCATCCCCAGCCTTTGAGTGCAGCCATTGGTGTTGGACGGTGCCCTTTCCACACAGCCTGTGGCGATGGCCTGTGCAAACTGAGGTGGAATTTTCTCTATGAAGGTATCTTCCATCAGAGGAAAACGTATGCATTTGGCAAAAATTTCTGGAAGGTGCGATTCTCGTTCATTCTGTTCGTGTTCAAACCACCGCACAATGCTTTCATACACGTGTTCTTCTCGGTCCACATTTAGGTCGTCGCTGTCTAGAATGCTTATCAGCTGGTCTTTTGTCAGCTGCAGAAACTCCTGTTCTTTGGTGACACACAGAAACTTTTTACGAATATACTCTTTTGATCTGTCTCCAAGTTCCTGATGACCATAATGATCAGCAAAGATAAAGACCCCAATGGAATTCTGTGGGTCCAGATGACTGACCATGTACTGAGCACACTGGTCCTGGATAGATGGGATCTGGAAGATGCTAGCGGCAGTGAACAAGGCTTGAACGTTGGCCTCTGTCAGAACAACTCTGGAGGTGTAGGCATAATTCAGTACTAAATCCATTGATTCAGCTTCAACACCAACTATTCGAATTTCTTTCTGGGTACTTTCTGTAAGGCCACTAGTGAACATGGATCTAAGAAGGAGAGAATGGTTAGTATTTTATGCAAATAAAAATTACAGTGACAAATTTTTTAAAGTATAGAGTTATCACAAAGATAACCTTTTGAAACTAAATGAATATATTCCCTTATATTCCAAATGGGGATAAAAACTGACCATCTACTAGGAGTTAGTCTGCCTGATCCCCCAAACCTACTGTTCAGATAGTCCACTTGGTGCCATCTCAAAATATGCCACACTGCAGAGCGTTCACTGCCTAACTTTCCCCTACATGTAGCAGCCATGGAGATGCTTTGGGAAGGAATTTCCTTCACATACCAAGGCTGGAACACAGCCGTGATCACCGAGGAATCGGGCAACTGTGGCTGC